CACCCCCCTCCTCGTACAGATCATTGGTATCCTCCTCCATTTGGAACTCTCGGGCTCACCTTCAGGCGGACTTGGCCCTGGCCGTGCGGTTCGGACACCTCATACTCTCCGGTCACCAGCACGTCCTTATGGATTTCCTCCCGCAGACATTTCCGGCTGTTGGGCGGCAGCTGGAAGGAAATGGACCGAACCGACCCACAAAGAGCCAGGAAGAGCGCTACAACCGGGACCAACCGAGCCATGGCGAGCGGAACTACGTCACCGGAAGAGGCGGGGCCACGTGACGAAGACTTTTCTCGTTCGCGCCCCGCCCCCTCTGAGCTGGAGCCTGCTTATTGGCGGCGTGCAGGAAACACGTGACGTGTCACTAGAAGATTTCCCGCACAGCTTCAATAGAACTGACAATCTACGCCCCCAGCAAGACAGAGAATGAGCCCGCCCCTTCCTGTGGGGGAGATTTATAGTTTATAACATTCGGATCAATAGAATCTCAGATATTCTATATTGGAAAAGTCTCCTGCACAATAAAAAGGGGCTTATTCAGACACTTCCTGTTATGGGGTGACAACGCTCTGTCCTTGTTCAGACACTTCCTGTTATGGGTTGACAACGCTCTGTCCTAGTTCAGACACTTCCTGTTATAGGGTGACAACACTCTGTCCTTGATCAAGAATTTCCTTTTCCTATTACAGATAACACAGGAAGTGTACCATTAGCAAACCTGCGCTGAGAAATCATTGGAGAGCATGTAGACAGGAAGTGGCAGAGAAGAGGTGGCAGGAGATTAGCAGCACTGAGGTGAAACAAATTGTTTCTGTTCCAAAGAGCAGGAAGTGACAGTGGACAGATAACACAGGAAGTGTACAGAGGACACGGGACATGTAACACAGGAAGTGTACGGGGGACAGATAACACAGGAAGTGTACGGAGGACAGGTAACACAGGAAGTGTACAGAGGACACAGGACAGATAACACAGGAAGTGTACGGAGGACACGGGACAGATGACACAGGAAGTGTACGGAGGACACGGGACATGTAACACAGGAAGTGTACGGGGGGACAGATAACACAGGAAGTGTACGGAGGACACGGGACAGATAACACAAGAAGTGTACGGGGGGACAGATAACACAGGAAGTGTACAGAGGACAGGTAACACAGGAAGTGTACAGAGGACAGGTAACACAGGAAGTGTACAGAGGACAGGTAACACAGGAAGTGTACAGAGGACA